ACTACGGACACAAAACTATCCATCTCACAAGCCTGGAAGGCCCTTAAGATCCTGCCAGTAAGTAACCTTAGGAAATCTTGAGACATCCAGCTTTTTGTCTCACTAACAAACCTACCAGGGTAGGGTATTACTTTGGACACTGAATTATGGCGAGTGCCTTTCACCCAATGTACTGTACATCATTATCAGCACTATGTGCTCTATCAGCCAACATGCACTATCTGCTTCATCCACTTTACCACTTCATCCAGAAGAACAATTCCTATACCATAACTATAACAGCACTTACTGCTTAAAATATTAACCAATGTTGATAAAAATAATATTTGTTAAATGTCAAAAACAAAACAAAAATTTGGTACATTAAAGGTGAGTATGCATAGTCAAATAAGCAATTACACAAAGATACAGGGATTCAACAGTAAATACAGTACAACAATGCTAATTCACACTAGTCGGCCAAGATTTAATTGAAAGATGAAGTGAGGAGCTGAAACTCGCCCTTCCACAAGTGAAAATAAGTTATTGTACACACAACATGCTAGCTGTCTTCCGTGGACGTAGGGTGATTCCACCCTCCTTACAAAAAAAACTCAATAGCTGTCTTACTAGTGTGCAGACATCACAAATCAAACGAACCTCATATGCATGAGTGAGGTGAAAGTTTTGAATGATGGTGAAAGTATTTTTTGGGGGGGATTTTTTCTCTTTTTGGGTCACCCTGCCTAGGTGGGAGACAACCGACGTGTTGGAAAAAAAAAAACACAACATCCTCAATCCCCCTTTTCAGGCATTATACTACCTACTTTCAGAACTCAAGACCAATTAATCAGTTTTCTCAAATTCCTTCACAAATGTTACCTTGCTCATGGTAAAATTGCATTCGAAGCCATTAAAAAAGCACTCATCTCCCTTTACTCCAATCTAATGCATTCACACAAGCCTGCTAGATGTTCAGGCCCCCTAATTCTCAAAACCCCATCTACTTCCCTTCTACAAACTTCCTTGGAATGACACCTTACTCCCTCCTTCCATCCACCCCATATTGCACCCTCTTAGTCATCTATTCTGCTTCATTAACTCTTGACCACCATCTCAACCACCTCTCCTCAGCCATTTGAATTACACCCCTGATAACCCCAACTCCATCTTCTAAAATCTATGCTCCGAATTCTATATGCAATATTTACAACACACACTGTTCTCAGACATGACATCTCCACTGCCTTCAACCTCCACTTCCATTACATTCTAAATACTATTATTTTCAAGAATAGAATTTTATTAGGTAGTAGGTTGGTAGACAGCAACCACCCAGGGAAGTACTACCGTCCTGCCAGATGACTGTGAAACAAAAACCTGTAACTGTTTTGCATGATGGTAGGATTGCTGGTTTCTTTTTCTGTCTCATAAACACGCTAGATAACAGGGATATCTTGCTACTCCTACTTACACTTTGGTCACACTTCACAGACACGCACATGCATATATATATACATACATCTAGGTTTTTCTCCTTTTTCTAAATAGCTCTTGTTCTTCTTTATTTCTTCTATTGTCCATGGGGAAGTGGAAAAGAATCTTTCCTCCGTAAGCCATGCGTGTCGTATGAGGCGACTAAAATGCCGGGAGCAATGGGCTAGTAACCCCTTCTCCTGTAGACATTTACTAAAAAAGAGAAAAGAAAAACTTTATAAAACTGGGATGCTTAAATGTGCATGGATGTAGTGCGGATGACAAGAAACAGATGTTTGCTGATGTTATGAATAAAGAAGTTGGATGCCTGGCCCTAAGCAAAAAACAAAGTGAAGGGGGGGGAGTTTCAGTGGGGGGAAATAAAGGGGATTAAATCGGAGTATTGGGGTTAAGAAAAGGGAAGGGGTGCAGTAATTTTAAAAAATGACAGTTGGGGAAGGGGGAAAAGAGAATATGAATTGTAAATTCAAAAATTGTTGGATTAAAGAAAAGGTTTGATGCGAGAAGTGGTCATAAAAAAGGGTGAATGACCTGGAAAAGAGGAATACAGAGGAGAGAGAAAAGTTTTTTGGGAGATGTTAAGTGAATGTATAGGACCTTTAAACCCAAGTGAAGAGAATTGGGTGGGGGGACCTAAATGTAAAGGGGAGAAATTTTTAGAGAGGGTGGGGTGGGAAAATTTTGGGGTGCCAGGGAAAACGATAATGGGAGCCCTTGATTGAATTTTGTATAGAAAGGGTTTATTATAGGTAATACTATTTAAGAAAAAGAGGATAAATAAGATCAAGAATGATGTAGGGCAAAATGACAGTTTTTGTTGGATTATTTTGGTAGATAAAGACTGTGAGAGACTCGGGATGTACGCTTATAGGGGGGGCCACAATATATCAGATCACTTTCTGTTGTACTACACTGAGAGTAAAAGGTGATGGGATACAAGGGAGAAAAAAAGCATAGGGAAGAGAGGTGAAGGTTTATAAACAAAAAGAGGAGGCATTGGGTAAGAATAAACAGCTATTGGAGGATAGAGGGGCTAACGAGACAAGGCAAGGGGGGTCGAAGGGGTATGGGGTGGGTTTTTAAAATGTAGTTTTTAAGTGTTCAGCAGAATTTTGGGGTTACGGAAAGGGGGTGCAGGGGGGAAAGAGGAGCGTTTGGGTGGAATGATATGTAAAAAGTAGTAAGGAGAAAAATTAGCATATGAGAATTTTTTACAATAGAATTGATGCAAGGAGGGGAAGAGTATATGGAAAAAAAGAAGAGGGTTAGGAGAGTGGTGAAGCAATTAAAAAGAGGCAAATGAGAGAGTGGGGAGATGTTATCAAAAAATTTTTTTGAAAAAAAGAAAAGTTTGGAGTGAGATTAAAAATTTTAAAAAAACCCTAGAAAACAAATGGATTTGTCATTAAAAAAGAGGGGAGAGTTATTAAATGGAAGTTAGAGGTTTTGGGGGAAGATGGAGGGGAGGGAATATTTTGAAAAACTGTTAAATGTTGATAAAGAAGGGAAGCTGTGATTTGTGTATGGGGAAAGGGAGGAAAAACATCTTGTGGGGAGTGAGGGGAAGAGCCAGTTGTGATGTGGGGGAAGTTCTGAGGCAGTAGGTAAAATGAAAGGGGGAAAGGGGGGCCGGGGATTGATGGGATAAAGATAAAAATTTTTAAAAAGCGGGTGGGGATTGTTTTGGAGGGGTTGGTGAAATTATTAATAAATTATGGAAAGGGTAAGGACCTGGGGACTGGCGAGAGCATGCATATTTCCCTTTTGTTAAACAAGGGGAAAAAGAGAGTAAAAAAATTATAGGGGGATAAGTTGTTGAGTATACCTGGTAAGTGATGGTGAGTTATAATTTAAAGAATTAAGAGTAAAACGGAGAATAGGATACAGTAAAAAGGGAGGCTTTGGAAAGGTAGGGGGGTGTGTGGACAGGTGTTTACAGTGAAACAAAAATGAACAGTATTTGAAAAGGCAAAAGGGGGGGTCTTGGGGCATTATGGATTTGGGAAAAGGTGTATACAGGGTGGATAGGGGGGCAATGTGGCAGATTTTGCAAGGTATGGGTGAGGGTGGGTTACTGAAAGCAGTAAAGAGTTTTACAGGATAGTGAGGTCAAGTTAGAGTTGTGGGGGGGGAAAGGGGAAAAATTTTTTCCAGAAAAAGTAGGCTTAGACAAGGATTGTGTGTCACCGTGGTTGTTTAATTATTTATAGAGGGGTTTTGAAAGAGAAGTAAATGCGAGGGTCTTGGCAAGAGGCTGGAGAAAAAGATAAAGAACACACAAAAAAGTGAGAGTTGTACAGCTGCTTTTGCTGATGACACGTGCTCTTGGGAGATTTGAAGAGAATTTTGCAGAGATTGGTGGTAAATTTTGGTAGGGTGGCAAAAAAAAGAAAATTAAAAGGTGAATACAGGAAAAGAAGGGTTTATAGGATAAAAAAAGTTTAGGTGATAAAAGATTGGATATCAATTGGGGGGAGGGGGAGTAGGGAGGATAAACGTTTCAGATATTTGGGAGGGGAAAACGTGTCAGGGGAGGGGATTGAAATGAGGTAATCATAGAAATGATGGGGGAAAAAAGTGGGGGGCACTTAGAGTCTGTGGAGACAAAAAACTTTGCCCTTTGGGAGGAAAAGGGGGGAATTTATGAGAGTAAGTTTTTACCAAACGCTTTATAGGGTGTGAAGTTGGGGATGAATTTGCAGCGAGGAGAAGGCTAAGGCGTGAGATGTCATGTCGGGGGCATGTGTGGTGTGAATATAAGCAGAGAATTTTCTTTAGTTGGAAGTTGGAGAGGGCGGGATTACCAAAACTGTTGTCCGGGGGCTGAGGAAGGGTGTTGAGGTGGTTGGGGACATGTAAGAGAAGGGAGCGAAACAGAATGATTCAAGATGTATCGTCTGTAGTGGAAGGAAGGGGGGGTAGGGTCGCCTAGGAAAGGTTGGGAGGGAGGGGGTAAAGGGGGTTTTTTGTGCGAGGGGCTTGACTTCCGCAGGCATGCGTGAGCGTGTTTTATGGATGAATGGAGACGAATGGTTTTTTAAAACTTGACGTGCTGTTGGAGTGTGGCAAAAATAACTTTTTTTAAAGGGCAGGGGAAACCCCCCAGGCCGGGCTTGAGTCCTGGAGATGGGAATACAGTGCCTGCACCTGAAGGGGGGTGTTAAAGATGCAGTTTAAAAACTGTAGTGAAACACCCTTCTGGCAAACAGTGATGAGGAAGTGGTGAAATTTTTCTTTTTTTTTGGGCCACCCTGCCTTGGTGGGGAAACGGCCAGTGGATAAAAATAATAAAAAATAATATCGAGTATTTGGTTATCAGGAAAGGGGGAAAAAAGACACGATAGTAAAATCCTACATTAAAAGTGGGAAAAACCCCAACATCAGTTTAAAAGACATGCACCACAAAGTTACTACCTGTGTCAGAGGAAGTGGAAATAGATCGGCCAGAATAAGATAGCTAGAAGGGATTTCAGTATTTCCCCAAATTTCGGCTAAGAGGGAAAACGTGTATTTTTTAGGATATATTTTATCAGAAATGGAAAACATAAAATAATAATTAAGGCTTAATAATGAAGAATGTTTTTATCTGCAGTTTATTTAAAAACTTTCGATGCAATTAAACAATTTAGTGTGTATTATTTTCACATGAGTGGGTATGGGGCCACAATGTAAGTAAGGCCGAACTGAAACCCCCCATCAAAGAAAAAAAAAAGTCAAATTAGCGGGAAAAGTTTTAAAACTGCATCAATAAGACTGAAACTTACAGTGACATTTTGGTCCAACTTGGACCATTAACAAGTCACTGTTTCATCTACTACTACACTACCCCCCACCTTATTTTTTAACCCCTACTACCCCCGTACTATGGCAGCGCTGTTGCAACCACTACCTCAATACCTCCGCCTGCTCACCATAACCCCATATTTCTGGATCCCTTCCCTTCTCGCTTCCTGCTACTTTTTTAACAGTCCCAAATGGTTTAAAAATCAACAAAAGTTTCAGTCTCCTCATACAGGTTATCTGTTTTGAATCCACACTCTTTGTTTAGTCGTTCTTTAATAACAAGCATGGTATTAAAAAAAATCATTTGCGGATGGGGATTTCCCAAATGATCACATACGCAGTACACGGGAAAAAAGCATAAGGACAAGAATTTAAAATTTAAAAGTACTAATAAAAAATTTCAAAAGTTTAGGCAAGCTTGAACTTGGGGCTATGTAAAACTGACCCCGAGAGAAAATTTAAAACTTTGAAATGTGTAATATGAACATCAAAGAGTAACTGAGTAAAAAACCTAACAGTGATTAGGGAAAAATTTTTTTGCACCCATCCTCCAACTTAGCGAGTGCAAGGGGCAACCCTATTAAACAACTGGTTTTTAAAATGTAAACGGATTTTATGAACTTTTTTCAGCTGTTAACATACAAAATCTAGTAACTTTGGGTTAAACAACCTAAAATAGAATAACTATTTCATAATTTTTGTTATTATTAAACTTGCAGAAATTGACGAATTAAAAATGGCTTTTATTAGGAAGCAGGCTAAGTTTTATACTCCAAAGATCAAACAAAAAAAAATTCAAAAAACTTTTCTATTAATTTTATAAGTACACTTTACAGCTTTTTTTCATTGTTCAAATCAAGAACCCTTCCCGGTAAATACCATCTTAGAAAGGGGAAACAAAAAAATAACAATGCTCAAGTAAAATTTTCGCGAAATTTACTTTTTAAAGGGATAAAATGATACAATTTCATAAATCTTCCCTTATAAAAAAAATATTTTTTTTCTGATATTCCCTTTTTGTATCCAGTCTTTACTCTAGCTTGAACTGAAAAAATATTAACAAACACAGAAAAATACCTGAAAATTCTTTAAGCATTTGATTTTTGAGTTCAATACTACCTCTGGTGCTCAGTAAGTTTCTTGTTGGTATGTATTAAAAAAACAGGAACATGCATAAACACTCATAACACAATATTATCAATAAATGAAATCCCATGCCCTTCACATATTCCAAGTATGAAATCATAGTTGCATGCTCAATAATAATGTATGAAGGCATACATATGCTTTCCAAAATCCATGAAAAAATTTTGCCTAACATATTTGATAACCTGCAAATACTGTATATATTTATGATAAATTTAAGATCTTTATTATTTAAAAAAATATAAAGAGTAATATCACAATACATTGCTTCAGTGGTAGCAAATCCCTATAAATGTGTTACCAGACAAGAGACATGCCTGGTTGATATTCTTTGTGTATATTTCTAACAAAACAAAGTTGAACATAACAAAACCAAACTTTTTGTTCAGTGATTTACACATGTATAGTTTTAACTTGCATTAACAAAAAACTCAAACAATACAATTTCCCTCATTCCAAAATGAGCCTGAAAATCTCACTTTAAAAACAATGTGGCCACAGCAGGAATGTTAAATTTTCTCACTTGCACTGTACCACATACAGCCATCCTACCCTTCTCTCCAGTACTGAAGATATGTCTCAAATGCAGAAGACATTCTCTCTCTCATTTAAAGAGATATGGTCCTCAGATTCATATGGCACTGTATGAATTTCTGCCCTTCCCCTAACTGTAGCGTATGTCTTTTATATTTTACGGATTATTTCCTTATAATTTATTTAGTTTTTGTTGCATGCCCCCTTTTTAAGCTGATCTCCAATGCACGTAGAGAACCGTCAGCGCAAGATATTCAGTTGCCCTCTGTTAGTACCATAAATAAGACCTTGACCAGGGTAAGGAAGCCAGCGAATGCAGTTTAGTGATGTGTGCCGGTGATCATTCATGACTTCAATGTCACGGAGTAGCTGCAACTGTCCTGCTTGCCCTCGTCTATGGAACACTGGGTTGTCACACAATTTGTAAATCTGAGCCACAACCTAATTGGAGATAAAACATAATTTAGAAAATTAAATCTATAGAGAAGAAACAGTGCACATTAATTAAATGGAACTGAGGTGCTGCACAAAATGAATACTGCTTAGTCATATAGTCATTCAAGGATAAAATATACATACATGTATCTAATGCCCATCAATGTGCATCATAGCTGTTGATGCTGAGCTTCTTCAAAATGCTGTACTCCCTTAGGATATTTCTATAAAAAATCCAAACACATTTTCTTCATACATATCTAAATTTTCCTAGGTAGTAGGTTGATAGACAGCAACTGCCCAGGAGGTGCTACCGTCCTGCCAAGTGAGTGTAAAACAGAAGCCTGTAATTGTTTTACACAATGGTAGGATTGCTGGTGTCTTTTTTCTCTCATTAACATGCAAGGTTTCAGGTACGTCTTGCCATATCTACTTACACTTAGGTCACACTACACATGCATGTACAAGCATATATATACACACCCCTCAGGATTTTCTTCTATTTCCTTACTAGTTCTTGCTCATTTCCTCTTATCTCCAGGGGAAGTGGAACAGAATTCCTCCTCCATAAGCCTTGCATGCCTTAAGAGGTGACTAAAATACTGGGAACAAGGGGCTAGTAACCCATTCTGTATAAATTACTAAATTTAAAAAGAGAAACTTGCATTTTTCTTTTTAGGTTGCCTTGCCTTGGTGGGATATTTTAGTTTTTTTAAAAAAAAAAAAATTTTAAAAATCCAATACCATGAAATCTACTTTTTAAAAAAGATTAAAGTCTTACAGTCACTCTAAATTATCTAAACTTTCACACCCCTCTGAAAAAAAAAAAAAAAAAAAAAGTACCATTTTTATGACTCCCAACACATTTGTGGCCTTTATATTTGGGACATCATTTACCCAATGTTTCTGGGGGCAACCCAGGAAAAAATTTGATTACCCAATGGTTTTTCGGGTTCAATGGTTTTTCTCACACTCAAATCTCTTTTGTTTGGTCTTATTTCTTTCCCATTCAATTTTAACCATGCTAGAGTTTTTATATTGCAGAAGTTTTTCTCGAACACTATAAACCCCAAAATTTTAAAAATATTTGTTAAGCAGTTTTAATTTCGATTGCTAGCATTTTTTAGGTTCATAACTTGGGAAAGAATACTTGTAACTGGAGAAAAGACTACTCCACACTAATCACATTACTCCCTCCAAACCTTTCCCTGCAATCTTATTGTGGTCTGGGCCAGTGGGTAACGCACGGTTGGGTTTTAAATCTTGACCCGCGGGATCAAAACCCACCCCTGGGAAGGTTTCTTCCATGCTGTCTACCCCGTTAATGCTATCTTGGTTTAATCAGAGGTAAGGTGGAAATGACCCCTTGTGCAAATTTCAGGGAAACAAAGTTAGCTATGTTGGGTGATAAAAAAAAAGGGGATAAATAATTTTATAAAAAAATCAAAACCAAATTTTTTGAGAAGATTAAGAAACAAAACTTTAGAAAAAAAGTTTCACTACAAAAAGTCACACAAAAAAATACAATTTTTAAAAAAAACTACCTGGAAAGTTAACAGTGCGCCCCCCCCCCCCGTTTGGTTCACCCATAGAGGGTGTACTCGGGTTCCCCAAAAAGGTTTGGGGGGGCGGACTTGATACCCCCCCCAAAGGTGGGGAGCCCTTTTTCCCAGGTGCGCTTGTTCTCCAACAATAAAATTCTTTTTTGAACAGCTTGATAGCCTCAACCTCATTTGGGGTTGGTTCATCTATGTTATACAAAACGCAATTTTCCTCCCCCAAAAAGTGTTTAACAGTTTTCAACACCATAATAAATCACACCAATACTTCCTCCTAACTCTTATTAACATTCTTCAACACTGATCATCATCTTACACCAATACTTCCCTTCCTACTCTGATCAACATCAGCTTAGTTCAGATCAGTATTTCCTCCCGATTCCAATCAACATTTTTTCTGAGCTGGCCAACATTAGTTTATCTCACACACAAAATACCACCCAATTCTGACTAGAAGTCCCTCCTATTTTCCTGAACAACAAACCTACCCAAGTCTGCAATCTGTAGTTCTTCTTACATCTCCACTATACATGCTATTTTCTTTAACTGTAACTTTTAGTCCATGTATCATCACACACAATCACATCACAATATTTTATGTGAAAGCTAGGTAGAACTTTTTTTTTTTAACAAGTCCGCCGTCTCCCACCGAGGTAGAGTAGCCCAAAAAGAAAGAAAATCCCCAAAAAGAAAATACTTTCATCATCATTCAACACTTTCACCTCACTCATACATAATCACTGTTTTTGCAGAGGTGCTCAGATACAACAGTTTAGAAGCATATACATATAAAGATACACATTATATCCCTCCAAACTGCCAATATCCCATAACCATTTTAACAAAACATTGGCTCTTTGTAGCATTACACCACAATCTCATTAATATGGTATAAATCAACAAAATTACTTAATTCCTAATTTTTTTTTTTTTTCAACAAGTCGGCCGTCTCCCACCGAGGCAGGGTGACCCCAAAAAAAGAAAGAAAATCCCCAAAAAGAAAATACTTTCATCATCATTCAACACTTGCACCACACTCGCACATTATCACTGTTTTTGCAGAGGTGCTCAGAATACAACAGTTTAGAAGCATACACATATAAAGATACACAACATATCCCTCCAAACTGCCAATATCCCAAACCCCTCCTTTAAAGTGCAGGCATTGTACTTCCCATTTTCAGGACTCAAGTCCTACTATATGAAAATAACCGGTTTCCCTGAATCCCTTCACTAAATATTACCCTGCTCACACTCCAACAGACTGTCAGGTCCCAAGTACCATTTGTCTCCATTCACTCCTATCTAACACGCTCACGCATGCTTGCTGGAAGTCCAAGCCCCTTGCCCACAAAACCTCCTTTAGCCCCTCTCTCCAACCCTTTCGAGGACGACCCCTACCCCGCCTTCCTTCCCCTATAGATTTATATGCTTTCCATGTCATTCTACTTTGATCCATTCTCTCTAAATGACCAAACCACCTCAACAACCCCTCTTCTGCCCTCTGACTAATACTTTTATTAACTCCACACCTTTTCCTAATTTCCACACTCCGAATTTTCTGCATAATATAATTCCTAAGTGTGCTACTAAAAATTAACTAGACACGATTTCATGCATTAGGATGCTCGAGGGAAATCTCCCTTACCCTTCTCTTTCCCTCCCTACCTCCCCCAATTCTTTTTCTCTTCTCCTTTTCTTGCTCTCCTTCCTTACCTTTCCTCTTCTTTATCCTTCCCCCTCCTCTCCTAAAGGATAAGGCGAGAAGGGCCTCAAAGATATTGGACCGAGATTTCAGAGCAAATGTTAAAGGAAACTGTAGAGCAAGACCAGAGGCATTTGAGGATGAATTCTGATGAGTACCAAATCATAGGGAAGGGAGGCTGTGTGAGGGTATTCAAAACTAAAATAAGGGCAGAAGTAGGGATTTCTGAAGAAACCAACTACAGTTGAAATTTCCTAGGCAGCAGAATTTGAAATTACTGGTAAGAGGTAATTTACACAAAGAAAGGTTTAGGCATGGCTGTACATGCCACCTTCTCCTTTAAACAGCAAATCTTGCATTCCTTATTGTACACATAGCACAGGCAGAAATATGCAAAGGATGATCTCCAAAATAATTCAGGCAATGCAAGACTGAGTTCTTAAAACCTCAGGAAATGTACTCTAACTAAAGATCTGTGCATTTTCAACTGTAAATACAGCACATTACTTGGTACCAGAGTAGGAGTGTAAGAAGCAATGTTGTTTTGCAGACCTGCTGTCTCACCGGTATACACAAAACATCCCAAACTAACAAGCAAAATAGTTAAACAAATATCCACCAAGGTTCATCATTTTCAGTTGTGCATATATAAAATTGTGGTTTATGAGGAGTTAAGAAGCAGTTTACACAGAGATTAATCTACACCCTGCCTCAGTGGGAAACAGCCAACATATTAAAAAAACAATGCTTATACAGTGGACCCCCCGGTTATGGTTATCGTAATTAATCTGTTAAAGAGATTGTGACTAAAGCTGAATTTGATGATATCCAAATTCATTTTCCCTATAAGAAATAATGTAAACCCAATTAATCCATTCCAGACACACAAAAGTATTAAAAAATAATAAGTATTTTACATGAAATATACATTTACCTACACAGAAAACAATGAGACATGAAGAATAAAACAATAATAACATGACACCTTTATTGAAGATTCTTCTTAGTGTATGGAAGATGGGAGGAGGGAAGAGGATGGAGGAGTTACTATTGTTTGGAAGGGAAATCTCCTTCCATAAAGACTTCGGGTACCAAGTCCTTTTCTGGGGTTACTTCCCTTCTTTGTTCTTTAATGCCACTAGGATCAGCTTGAGAATCACTGCACACCTGTGGCACTAAATATCTGTCAAGAGAGCTCTATTTCTGGTGTCTCTTTAAAATTTCCCTAAAATGGGACAAAACATTGCCATTGTACATGTTGCCGACATGGCTTGCAGCAGCTTTGTTACAGTGATGTTCCTCCACAAATCTTTCCATCCTACTCCACATTGCACAAATCTCCATTACTACCACCCTCTACCACCATCACTACGACCCTCTACCACCATCACTACGACCCTCTACCACCTTCACAACCACTACCACCCTCTACCACCATCACAACCACTACCACTCTCTACCACAATCACTACCACCCTCTACAACCGTCACAACCACTACACCCTTTACCACCATCACAACCACTACCACCCTGTACCACCATCATTACCAACCTCTGCCACCATCACTACCGCCTTCTACCACTATCACTACCGCCCTCTACCACTATCACTACCACCACCACTTTCGTATTTTTCTACAATCTTTTTCTTTAATTCTATTGTGTTTGTCACCTTCTTTATCAAAGGGCTGGCATTAGCTTTCTTTGGGCCCATGGTGGCTTATTTAGCAGTTGCAAGCAC